TGTGCCACCCCCGCCTGGTCCTATCGTGGATGCACTCTTAATTTTTCGAAGAAAAGTGCAACCTGATTAGCAGGGGATTGGGGATGAGGAGTAAGATTTGTTCAGTTTGTTGTCAGGGTAAGCTGATGACAGGCAGAATAGGCTGTGTCTTGCCTCTGCCACCCTGCACACAGGTGAACAGTTTAAATTGGAGTAAACAGGTGTCATTTTTGAGTCCTGTATCCACTGCCTTTTTTGTTCTCTGTTTTGAAACCTAATTCTATGACTGTTAGTATTCGTTCACATTTGGTGGTTAATACGTTTTCTGTGGTATGACACAACTTCACTGCTTTATACAGACTTTGATGTTTATACACACTGACGTGCCAGCACCAAATGAGTGTGTAAATACAAGGTATCCGTGTTCATGTGGAGATTAAAGAAAAGTCCTCTCATTTCTAGAAGAGGTTTTTTTTTTGTTTTTTTTTAAAAGAGTAAAACATGCTGGTTACCTCTTCGCCCTCTGATCTGATCCCGTCTCATGGGCTGGCGGAGGTTTCCAGGAAATCGTCCTGTCTGCGTGTTGGATGCATGTCTGGCTGTTGAGGAGCAACACAAAATGAATTAAATGTAAAGAGCTGATTTAATGACACAGTACTGTAACAAAGAAATGTTTTTCAGTGGAGATACTCACATCGATATCTTGTGTTTGCACTCATGTCAGCGGTGGTTCAGCGTCTCTTCGGTCTCGATGGTGACTCAAAGGTTGGCGTCCTCTCTGTGTTCAGTTTGAGCTCTGTCTGCCCACATCTGACTTCCGAAGCTCCTTTTATCTCCTGAATTAGGAAACCGAAACAAAAAACAACCGTCAGCCTAATTCTGGGCTGTGAAGTAGTCCTGACTTGTCTGCTGATGACGAATACGCCTGTTTATCACCAGGTGTTTCGTTGCTATTGAAACCAAAGTGATTTGTATTTAATATTGTCGTCATTTAATTACCAGGTGAAACTCACGGAAACTGAGGAAACGAAACTGATGGAAATCAGAGAGAAAAGAAAAGGAAACACAAAGAATTTTAGTTCAAAACTAAGTTGGTATGAATATTGTCATTATTAAACATGTGAAAGAAATTCAAACTGAGGAAGAAAAAAAAAATCACCAAATGGAAATCACCAAATACAAATTTGAAGTTTAATTTAAGTGTTTTCTGTCTTTGTATTGCAATGAAAGTCCAGTGCAGGTACAAAGTACTAATTTGAGTTTACCAGAGTTAAATAAAATGGTGAGGACAATGTGACGAGTTCACTGGGTATTTCAAGGCAAATTTCCTGAGAGTCACTTGCAAAAGCTTTAAAATCCTGTTAAATCTTAATTTATTATCAGAATCTTAACTTTGCCTGTTACAGCCCAGTTCTCTATTGTCAGCTGGGTGTATAAAAAAAAAAAACCCAGGTGTTACTGGTTGGGGTAAAGTAATTTATCGCTTCGTGGCGTTATTAACAAAGCAACGGCGAGAATACAAACGAAACAGGGCTGGTGGATGTTGCTAAATCAAAGAACTACATAAAACCAAACAAAGGCTAACAGAGTTATGAAACTAGCTAAACAAAACAACTGAACTCTTTAGCCAATCTTAAACACAACAGCAATACCCATAAACAACAAAAAAACCCCTAAACAAGCAAGTGCTTCAAAGCACATACCTACGACAGACAAGTAGCTCCTAAACTAAGTTGAACAGCTGCTAGCTGAAGTTACAGACTTCACCAAAACATGGGTAACTTCCACACTATATTTACTTCTTCCAGCAGAAGTTACAGAGAACATAAAACACACAAGAGGCACCAAGTTGAACTGTTGACATTAAATCCTAGCAGCCTGGAGTATGAGGTTGGCTGTAGGTTTATACTCCCCAGGTATGGTGATTGCTGAAATTGGATTGGATGGCGGTGGAGTGAACCGAGTGGTGGCCCAATCAGACGAGGAGAACAGCTCCAGGCTAATCAGTGGAAATGACGAGCAGCTGGGGTTCAGGAGCGAGCTCTCAAGCCAGCCATAGCTGAGTCTACTCCGGCCATCTCCCAATGCAAGGGTTACAAAAGTCCACCACAGAGGTGAGACACCACACAAGCACCAGTGACCGTAACACTGCCTGTTTGTTTAAGTGCAGATTATAGTTACCTGCAATCAGCAAACATTAAAATTGTACAAGAACACAGGTTTGATTTTTTCTCATCTACTCACCTGTCTGGTAAAAATAATTTAAAAGACAGTTTACATTTTAGAGAGGCAGACACTTCATGCTGATGCTGAGACTCTTTTAAACATGTTGTTAGTTAGAATCTGTGCTGAAACTCATTACCAGCATCAGTACCACATATTTATTATTGTAGCCACTGTAAAGAAGATCCAGGTTCATGGCAAACATGTTGGACTACATCTTTGCCAAATACATTTATTTTAACCATCATGTGACCGAAGAAGGTGCTTCAAATACATAACAGGCTTCTTTTCACGTTCTTTAGCAAAGTTTTACCTTGTTCAGGACGCAAGGGTGTTTTTCTTGAATGGCATCTATAGAGGTCGATGTTGCAATTCAGTGTCCTTCATGCTTTGCAGTCACACAAACTAAGATCCATCCATCATCTATACACTGCTTAATCCTCACTGGGGTCACGGGGGGGCTGGAGCCTATCCCAGCCAACTTAGAGCGAAGGCAGGGGACACCCTGGACAGGTCGCCAGGCTATCACAGGGCTACACTTAGAGACAGACAACCAAGCACACTCACATTCACACCTACGGACAATTTAGAATCACCAATTAACCTCAACATGTTTTTGGACTGTGTGGGAGGAAGCCGGAGAACCCGGAGAGAACCCACGCTGCACGGGGAGAACATGCAAACTCCACGCAGAAAGATTCCAGTGCCCCACCGGGACGCGAACCGGCAACCTTGTTGCTGTGAGGCATCAGTGCTACCAACTGCGCCACCTTGCAACCCACAAACTAAGATCTTTATTTATAATTTAAATCTGCTAAGTCTGAAGCAAGCTTATTTGTGTTTCACATCTAGATTGCGACAGTAGCGCACTGTTGGCATCATTTTAGAAGGTTGACCACTGCAGCCCTGATTAGTGGTAGTACGGTTCGTTATATACCTCCTAATTAATGCTGCATCTGTGTTTCAACTCATTGTTCCTAGCTCGCTGATCTTCCCTTGCCTTTTCCATCTTTGTCTCACAATCTGATTTTCAAATGTTTTTCCATATGGAGCCATGATGCAGACATGCAGATGGACACAGCCCCATAGGTCCAAAAATGACATAGTTCTGTTCTTCACAGGTCATTTTACAATCATGTTCATGAAATTAGGAAAATTAAAAATCACAGGTGTAATTAATTGTTGTTTCGGTGATCCCAATGTATTCGTTTTGGTTTTTATACAGTGTTTTTGATTGGTCATAAGAGGAAATATTCTACTTGTCAACTCAGAAGGAATGCAATTCTTGAGAGGTGGTAGAATTTGGATTCATTTGACATTCAAGTGATATTGCACAGGTGTGTACTCGGTTCTTTTGTATACTGTAGTTGTTTTCAGTTTCAGTCACATTTCTTAGCTGTGACGACTGTGTCACATATTAAATTTTGACTGATTAGTCATCAGTCATGTATTGGTATAAATGCTCTAATTTCTAAAGTAACCATATACAAACACCTGGGTCTACATGTAGACAGTAGTAATGACATGTTTCACTACAATACTTTTTGCTTTCCTTTAATAGAAAATAACCTTTCTGATGTAAAAAAACAAAACAAAACAAAAAAAGTCTATTTTTCTGCCATACAAAGACCTCCTTTCTGTTCTTTGATCAATACGACAGTAATGTATTGTGAAAATGCATTTGATTTATTTTGATTTTAGGAAACACGTCTCTTAAACTTGTAGATTAATGGTTGCAGACTTGGCACTTTTTAGAACAGAAGAAAGACATATACATTTATTAATAAGCAAAGCCTGATGCTGTATAGCTGCTGGAATACCAGATGTTGCATTTATGTCAGTCTTATGAAGTATTTGTCTTGTTTTTTAATTTTCTGGTCCAGCTGCGTTTGTTCTGACTGCAGAAGCTCATTTTATTGCCTGGGTGGATGTGAAACCTAAAACGCACAAGAAAACAAAACTTAAACTATAAACGAAAGCTAAATTAATCTGAGGCTGTGAACTTGCCTTCACATGTCTCTTGATGACTAATACACATATATAACACCATGAGAAATGAGCTTGTAGCTCCTTGTCCTCTTTGTGTTCAGTTTGGCTGTGTCAGCTCCACTATAAATGCGAGATATGAAACCAACAAGAAAACGAATGTTATCTTGATTATAGGCTACTCGTGGCTGATGAGTCATCACATAAATCTGTTTATCACAACCAGGTTCTTTTTTCTGTTGAAACAAAAGTAATTGCATTTCCTCGCTGCGGGATCAATAAAGGTTTAATCTATCTAACTGTGTTGTCATTAGTTGTTTGGCTGGAGCCTATGCCAGCTGACTCAGGGTGAAGGCAGGGGACACCCTGGACAGGTCACCAGTCTATCACAGGGCTAAACTTATCGAGGGACAATTTAGAAACACCAGTTAACCGCAGTATAGTTTTGGACTGTGGGAGGAAGCCAGAGAACCCACGCTGCACAGGGAGAACATGCAAACTCCACGCAGAAAGATCCCAGGCGTCCTAACCAGGATGCAAACCGGGGATCTACTAGCTGTGAGGTGAAGGTGTTAACCACCCAGCCAACATGCAGCCTGGATAATGAAAAGTTTAATGACTAGAAAGAGATTTTTATTTATTTTTTTTGTTGCAAGTGGTGACTCAAGTGTGGGTTTTATCTTAGTTTTGTGACTTTCTTTGCATGTTACTTTGACACAACCTCTTTATAAAGAGACCCTTTAGTGTTTAACTATGGAATGAAGACAGGTGGATAGCGCTTAAGCAAAATTCTTTACTGAAACAAACACATGAATTTTACAAAATGCTTGAATGATAATCCGGAAGTTTGTTTATGTCTCCGCAGGAGGAGACAACGAGAACAGACAGCTCGTCTCCCGGATTGACAGGTAACATCTTAAAATAGACTACATGACATTTACACTTAACAGGCTTCTGTGAAAATACACAGAACAGGTTTTACAAAACAACACAATAAAATAGAATAGAAAAGCTCCCTCCCCATGTACAACTCGGTTTATCGATAAAATAAATTCCCTCTTCACTGGACTGATGAAAGCAGAGTCTCTGACCTGCCAACAGCTAACTATAAAACTAGCTGAACAAGTTCACAGGCAGATGAAGGCCACCTCGTCGCAGTGACAGGTGCAGTGTGATCGATGAGGGAGGGGGGCACAATCCATAAGACATTTTATATATGTACAATTAACATTCTAAAACATTTCGTCAATGGCAACTATTCAAACATCCTTGCAAACTGGACTTAAATAAAAGTGCAATACACAGTTTTCAGTAGGAGAGTAAGGAAACAGCTGGCGAGACGAAGCGCGTTAAAAATCTGAATGGATTCTTTAAAATTCATCTATATACTGTAGAAAAAATAGAACATACATCAACAACCTCCGCAGGATTACTGCAAACTCATTGCAGAGGTTTTTTTTTTTCTCAAAGCACCATAATAAATAGGCTGGTAAAAATATGTCAACATGTAAAAGCTAGTTTCTCTTCTACTAAATGAAGGAATGCAGTTAATAGTTAAAGAGAAGTTGTCATCAGAGGGTAAAAATAGCATTGCTCCCGCAAAGAAATACTTCATCCATCTGCAACGCTGCAGAAACATTCTTCCTTAATGTGTGTGCTGTGATTTTCTAGACACTGAAGTCACAGAGAGAGTTTTTTCAAAAACTTTAAAGTAAAATATGCTAAATTGCTCATGCTAAGTTTGTACTAATTCAGTCTCAAGTTGTTGTTTTTTTAAATAAAGCCCAAGAATTTCAACTAAAATGTGCTTCAAACTGCATCTTAAAGACGAGAGGAAAGCTTGTAAATGGACCTTGAAAGTCATAAATGAATTCTATGTTCAAACAACCCTCATCAAAATTTATTTTCAAAAAGTTAGAAATGACTGTTACCAGATTTTCAAACTAAAATTGCCATTTAAAAATACTACACTCTGCTTAATGCAACAGTCTGTTGCATTAAGCAGAGTTTTTCCCTGCCTCAGAATGAGATTTTGGGACATGGCCACACAAAAATCAGTGTGCATACAGAAGAGGCTGTAAATCTGTGTTCCCTTATTTGAATTAAATCTATGCTTTTAATCTATTTATTTGTTACTTCCGACTGTTTGATAAACAAAAATGTCTCTTACGGTGAGTAGGACCCCAATTAACAAAAATGGTTAATAAATTCTCTTTTTTCTTTTGGTGCTGGTGATTTTCATTTGGCCCTCACTAAAACCTCACTGCAGGAGTGACAAACATTCTTTTATGCAGGGAAAAACCTTTTGGTCAAGTACCAAAAGCTGCCAGATTTGCAAAATTGTTTATTTCCTGACATTTTTCTAATCTCAGATTATGTAGTTCTGGCAAAGGTTGTAGACAACCTTTTACAAAAATGGGTAGAAATCTGGGAGGGAAAAAAATAAAAAAAGCTCTTCCATCATAAATTTCTTTCAGAGGTTAAAAAACGGTATGAGGCACTGGTACACAAACTCAGTGGCTGTTTCTGCAAAATCGAAAAACCCTGAGGTGGTTTCCCCGCTAAAAATAATCTCCCTATAACTTCAGCGTATAAATAATTGGCAGTTATGAAGCACAAACACTGCACATCATCCTGGACCACCAGAGGCAAGTAGCTAAGTGGATCAAGTATTCCTTTACCAGATAATGCACCTGTGAAGAGTCAAACTGTGTCAATGGATTATAACAACTCATGACAGGAAAACATGTTTCAGTAAGATATTTCTTAAGGGTTGGACATAATTTCTATTTTTAAAAAATTGTCTTAAGATGTGCTTTGTTATTTTCAAATGTCTTCTATCGGGTAGTTTATTTCTCTGACTGTGCAAAGCATCCAAGTGTTGCACTTTAGCCTGGTGTGTTAACAGTAATGAATGAAAAAAACAAAAAAAATATTGGTCTGAGTCATGGATCAAGGTCATTCAACCAGGACTAACTATCAACTGGTATATAGTCCCCGAACCTCAAATCTCAGTTTGTGCTTCTCACAGTCCACAGAGGGTAATATCAGTTTTTAAAAAAGGTTGTTTAAAAGTACCTTGGGCTGTTCTGATTAGGGATGTTAATGATTGTCAATCGACTAATCAACGTTAATCACTTAGTCAATCAGAAATGTGTTAACGGAGGCAGAAGACGAGGAACATGCATGTCAGAAAATGTGTTTTAGATTTGTTGCAGTGCCTTGTTATGTCACAAGGTGGAGCCTCTTATTGCAGCTGTCCAGTTTAGTTGGCTACCTGAGGCTTATGCAATTTTTAAATGCTAACACAGGCCGGTAGCTGGGTGCCTTTCAGCAGAGAGAAACTTTCTAGATCAGCCGGAATCTGATTACATGCTTCCAACAATGTTCAAACTAAAGTGATAAAGTGCATCAGCGACGCTTGTCTTTGAGTATAAATACACTTTAGCGGTGGCAGGTCAGTTACTGTGAAGGCTGCAGCTCATTTGTTGTGTAACACTTTGTCAAGTCGATCACTAAAGAACAATGTCAAAGGAAGTACGTTTTTCTGCCATTTATTTTTTAATTTAAGTAACGTGGTGTGGACTTTGTCTGTTCTGCAAATTCCTAATGTAACCAAGCCAATTTAATGGTGAGCATCAAGGCTCAATGGTTAAAAACGCTGACATGACCGACTTTAAGTTAAGGAAATTGTTTAAATTTGCATCCCTGTCCAGACTGAAGACTTAAACATTTCCTAACAATTTTTTTAGACTTTTGAGTCATCGCTGGTTAATAATCAGTTAGACACTGATGATTTCCTTTGTGTTGATACATGAGAGGCACAAACTGGATGAGTTTTAAGCTGGATTATTTGAAAATCTGTTAGAGAAGTTGCACCACTTATGTATTCTGTTAATGTTGTGGCCCTGGCTTGTGTTCACATTAGAGATGCGTCGATCCGATACTGGGTATCGGTATCGGGCCGATACTGGACGAAATTACGGTATCGGATGATTTACTTCACAGGGGTAACTGGCCGATCCGATACCGCCACACACACACAATCCTGCCTTCCGACACATCCACGTGTTCGTCTGCTCATTGGCTACAAGTTTACAGTCTCAGAGAGTGTCTGCAACCCGACTGGTTGAATCTACAAGGGTGGAACTTGTGCGTACCGGGTTGACTGTCTGAGACACTCCATTGGCCCTTCAGGCTGTCAATCACCCACCAAAGCCCTCCTATTGGCCAAACTAGGTGTCAATCAAACGCTGAGCCCTCCGTCTAGCTGCCTGTAGCGCTTTCAGTGCGATCTAAAATAGATTCAGGCTGATTTTGCCAGAAGAAACAAAACAGCCGGAGCTGATCTCAAGCTGGGAAGACATTACTGCAGAATTCGTGCCTTTGAGGATCTAATACATTTTACGGACCGAATTATTTTACGGGATTCTGTTCACTGGTTCTGTCCGGACAGAATGAGACCAAGCTGGTGAGGAATGAGCGATGTTTGAGCTGCAGAGAGCCTTCAACAGTAAGAAAAGTCGGATTTTAACATTTTGCTTTTCTGTACAAAAAGCTCTTTGTGTCAACGCTGTGGTTGCTGCAGGTCAAAAAGGTTTATATCATCGGAAAGAGGAGACTCTGAGCTTTGATTTGATGTGTATATTGTCGGGAAACGTGATTGTGGAGCATGCGCACATCTGGCTGTAATGTGTTTGGAAAGTGGTCCCGTCCCTCCGGCGGGACGTGGGAGCGGTAAGGGGTTAAAAATACTCTTCGTAAATATTTTTTTTTAAATTGGAAGTATATTTTGAATGAAATCACCCTTTAAAACTACGTCGCGCACCCGAACTAGAAGCCGTGCACTTATACGGCCGGAGAAGACGAGTCCAGCCTCTACCAGCAGCCTGTACGTGGGTCTCCAGCTCTGCAGACAGAACCTTTCTATTGGATCCGATCCCGCAGCAGGTCACAACGTTTCCGGCCTCATTTACTACTGCTCATGCGCAGAGCCCAGAGCGGATATTAGTGGTACTCGTATTTAATACCAAGAGTGCACACTGTAGTCTGATTGCAGCTCAAATAAAGCAGCTACAGTTTCACTTTGAGACATGCTTTTGGCTGTTTTTTCCTTTCTTAGAAAAGCAAAGTCTATGCTTTAATAGTATGAGGCTTTTGATAAAGCGTCTTAAACAAATGTATCCATGCAAATAAGGTATTTCCAAAGAAGTTTAGGAGGAGAGATGGTATTGGTATTGGTATCGGTATCGGCAGATACTCAAAGTTGAAGTATCGGTATCGGAAATCAAAAAGAGGTATCAGTCCATCCCTAGTTCACATGGTGCATACGAATAGCTAAAGCTTATTTAGTCAAATTAGTGTGGCAGAATTCCAGTCTAGCCTTCTTAGAATATGGAGCCTGGCAGATATCAGGGTAAACATTTCAGATTACCTGATTAGTCAGTGAGAACATTTATGTTAGTCCTATTCAAGCATCCAGCTTTTTTTTATGCTTTATATTCAAAAATGTGAATATGTCCAGTTTAGCTTTGGGAAACTGAGGAGCATTTTTCACTTTACTTCCAAAACCATACCGAAACAATTAGTGATGAGAATGCTCATTAGCTGTAGTTTTAACTCAGTAAGGTAGTAAATATACCCTAAACCTAATTATTTAAGTCTGAGTGTGTGTGTGTGTTTGGAAGGGCCAACAATTAAAACAGTAATTAGAACAAGCAAAGTTACAACATTTACCTTTGCTACCTAGCTCCATATCATAGGCACTAATGGCAGAAATAAAATGAAGCCGATAGTGTCCTTAAAAGTCAGATTAACACTTGAGTGGCAAAGTTGATTGAAATGTTTACTGTAAAGTTTAACACCAAACTTTCTTTTTAAAAAAAACTTGTGTCTTAATGTCAAAATGCTACTTTTTTAAACATTTTAATATTGCTTCCTCCTGTTCGGTGCAGCTGTGGAGTCCTATGTCAAAACTAAAATCCTGCAGCGTCCTGTATCGCAGTCAAACAAACGAAGCAAACAAAGATGGATGAAGGAGAAGTAAAAAAGAGAACAGTCCGAAGCAGGTCCTGAAGGAAGTCCTGTGGAGCTACACTCTCTCTCTGGCTAGCTGCTAAGGTAAGGTACAGTGAGCACAGTTCAGTCTGTCAGTGCTGCTGGTGTGAGTGTGGGTGGGCGGGCAGACAGAGTGGGGAGTTACTCCATGATGGCTCTGTAGATCACAGGCTCGATGTAGTCACCCCGGTAACGGGAATTGATCACTCTCTGTCGCTTTGACTCCTGGATGATCTCCCTCTCTTCAAAGATCCCGTCAAATCTCATGTCTGATGCTTTGGACTGCAGAAAGAATCACAGGGAAAACACCGCCACATCTTTACAGTGTCGTTCATCGGCTTTATAAATATTAAACAAGGTATTATTTACAGAGATACCACAAGGTCATGGAGAGAATTTATGATATGCATTCTCTTGCAATCTGCTTTCCATTCCTCCTGATCAGTATGAGCAGTTGTTGGTGCAGTTTTAACACGGTCTGTTTAGTAGAGCTGTAACAGTACACACAAATTACAGTCTGGTATGTTTTTGGTAAAGCAAAACCTTTTCAGGAATGCAGCACCGTTAAGACAGACGGCAAAACCATCACTGCACCCACACACACACATTGCTGCCTGTAGTCAGAATTCCAACTACAAACTAATGTGTCACAACCAGATTTGTCACAGTGGTTCCAGCCACAGTGATGGCTGTCATCCCAGGCTGCAGTCAGACAGTGTGTGTCTGCAGAGGTCAGTGAGAGAGCTGCTCTAGCAGCTCCTCTAGTTTTCTTTCTTAACCCTTTCAACAGTATAATCCGCTATACCAGTCTGCGGCTTTTACCCCGTTCAACCCTGCAGACCGCTTTACCGGTCTACTGCTTTGATCCCATCCACCCTGCAGACCGGCATAGCAGGCTCCGGTATATGGCAATTTTCTGTTACATTCATTTTGATTGTCTATCAGTGGGAATTCCCGTATGTGAACAACTCAGTCATGGAATAAATTATGCAAATAATAATTTAATCTTTAATCTAATAATCTTTCCTGCTAATGCTGCTAGTCGCTGTTACCCATTAAAGTTTGATTTGATTTGATATTCCTAGTAATTAAAGCCAAAGTTACTTAGTGTTGAAAGGGTTAACGCACAGACTTGTCCTGACAGACAGCTGAGGGTGCACTGAGATGGGCTCTGAATCAGCAACATGCAGCCTGTAAACTGTTGCTGGTTGGGACTACAGAGATTGCCTGAACCCTTGTTGTGAATGGCTCTACCTTTGACTACATGCAGTGCTGTTTGTGTGCAGTGATAGTTTTGTTGGCTTAGCGTTCTGTGGAAGCTGCTGTATTGCTGAGCTCCTAAATAAACAGCATCTGTTATAGAAGCTCTGCAGGTTCAAATAGTAACAGCTGGACATGTCCAAAGCCCAGCACCAAGCAGTGTTGATGAATGGTTACTGTGGACTGCAGCTTCACGGTCACAGTAGGCAGAGCAGCTGCTGTTAGATACTGTTGGAGATTAAAATCAACAATGAGCAAAAAATTCATCATATAAAGTGTGACATCATCTCTCCTTTTTCTGGAGTATCTCCAAAGTGTTTCCCTAAACTGCGCCAGAACACGGAAGGTTCAAGTGAATCAGAAGAACTGGAAAGTAGATTGCAAAAGAATGCAAAGCAAAAACTTCTTGCCTTGATCTTTGCAGGGCTCCATAATTACACAGAACATATAAGGTGCAATCAATAAGTTCTGAGTCTGCACCTAAAAAAAAGCCAAAACTGTACATGATTTAAATTGCCCACCACCCTCTTCAAAGTATTTCTTGTCCTTGTGTTGCAAAACACTGCTCCCGCACAAGCTCCGTCTGTGATGCATTCTGGACCGTCTAAACTGTGTCACATAGTCGACCCATCAATTAGAATTTTTGGGGGTCGAAAGGAAGAAGTCGCAGGGAGACAAATCTGGTGATAAGCGAAAATGTGTGTTGTCAACATGCGTTATGACTGAGCACAAACAGGTAGTCGCACCACTGTTCAGGTTGTTTGTGCCGAATCTTTTCCCTGAAATGCCTCACAGTGTTCCTGATCTGACACCGTTTCTTCAGTCTTCCAGAACGCGTTTTTTTCCACAGTAAAAACTGCTGTTTGGTCTCTGGGTCAGAGTTGCAGAAAAACCTCTCATCACCAGTGATGGTCCTCCATATGAAGATTGAATCATCCTGGGTCTGTTGACACAGATTCTCATGGTGCTGCTACTACAGGTCAATAGTGAAATCACACATGCACCAACCAGTGGTCACAGAAACGTGTAACACAGGTACTGATGTCGATTGTTTGATGTCACATGGAATCTTGACTCATTATTTACTGCTAACACCTGTTGCATGGGTATGTCTGTGCTGTGCTCAATTCGTATGGATCAGGAACAGAATCAGAACTTTTTAATTGCATCTCATATTTTAAACAATAAAGTGTTTTCTGGACTCACCAGTCTGGATTTAACTCTCTTTGGGAGTTCCTCATCCAAAGTGTAGACGTCATCTCTCTTGGTTGTTAGCTGCGACCCATCCTCAAACTCCACCTGCCGTCCAGACACAAAACAAACAGAGCTAAACTGAGCAATCATTGCTGCTGCTTCAATGGACAGAGCAGCTCTCCTCTCTTTCACTCTCCATGCATTTATATACCACTTTGCATATCAGCAACTTTGTGTCCTCCCTGTACCTTTCTGCAGAAACGTCTGACTCCAGAGCAGCATGTTTCTTATCTGCAGTTACTGAAGTCACCAAACAGAAGTGTGTACTACGAAGTGAGATCAATAGGTTAGCAAGATATCCATCCATTATCTATACACTGCTTAATCCTCACTGGGGTCACGGGGGGGCTGGAGCCTATCCCAGCTGACTTAGGGCAAAGGCAGGGGACACCCTGGACAGGTCGCCAGTCTATCGCAGGGCTACACTTAGAGACAGACAACCAAGCACACTCACATTCACACCTACGGACAATTTAGAATCACCAATTAACCTCAACGTGTTTTTGGACTGTGTGGGAGGAAGCCGGAGAACCCGGAGAGAACCCACGCTGCACGGGGAGAACATGCAAACTCCACGCAGAAAGATTCCGGTGCCCCCACCGGGACGCGAACCGGCGACCTTCTTGCTGCAAGGCAACAGTTAGCAAGATATGCTGAGTCTAAAGTTTTAACCTGGCTAGATCACTGTGAAAACTGATGCTGCACACCTAATCTGTTCCAGAGGTGGTTGTGTTCAGAGTTTGACATATAAATTGGCTGTAAAAGCACTGCTTTTTCACCAATTCTTCTCTTGACCATGTTGTCTGAGTGATACAGATTCGAGACGTTCTAGCTGCAAACCTGTTGAGCTGTATGCTAGTGATGCCACAGAACAAAGCTGTGTAGTTACTGCCAAGTCCTTTTCACACTGCTGGTGCTGCAGCTCATAGAACACACATCATATATATTAGTATTTATAACAGAGAATAGTCAAAATTAATTACACTTTCATGACCTAAAACTACAGTGATTTCTACGTGTCCTTCAATATGGCACATTGTAAGAACTAAGGATTGTATTCAGTATTGTTTAAATGAATGAAATGTAAGTTTAACAGATGTAATGTGCAGCTGCAGATTATAATATCTGCATTCATATGACATACAGACTTTCTTCACCAGGCTCTGAGCACATTCCCGTAAAAAGGGGCACGTAAAAGTTACCTAACAGTTACAATTCAACCACTTTTTAGCTAACATTGCTGCCTTGTAAGGATACAATGGGCAAGTCATTAATTACATCCTGGACACATTTATTTCAGCCTGGAAGTCTATTGTGAACAGTATTCCTGTGTTTTCACTTCAGAAATGTTCTGGTTCAGTCAGTAACATGACGTGACATTACGCTCATGAAAATACACTTTTCTGTGTCCTGTGCATACAGATTACATTCAACACTTCAATGTGCTCCAAGCACAACAGTGAGTGTTAAATGTGGTATGAAGAGGCTGACAAGGGACACCATGGACGAAGAACATTACAGAAGTGGCAGCTTGATTACATCCATTCTTTACTTCCAGCCTTAAATAAATGAGTCCAAGATATGTTAAGCAATCAACTGGGTAAAGTACGGAAAAATTTAAAGTAGAATTTCACTGTTTGCCTTGCTGTTGGACAAGCCCTTCTTTTGTCATTGCATATTATTTACTTGACTGTTGCCTGCTCCTTGCTTAGCTTTTCTGTTTAATTTATTTCTTGAGTCTTGATTCAGACATGGTCTGTAAGTTCTTCAGGTTACAATTTGTTTGTCTATTCTGCAACACAAATCACAAACATGAATGAAAATGATTCTTACCAGGTACATTTGAATGACATGAGCTGCCACAAATTTGGCCCCGTACACCAGACCATCCGTCCATCGCACCTGAACCACTTCTCCCTGCGGTGGAGGTCCAAGCTGAGCACAGTCTCGATTCTAAGAGACAAAACATTGCAGAGTTCAGAGCAAACTCAACAAAACGCATACTTTTGATACATTCTGACAAAGTACTGACTCAAACATTCACAATGACAAACTTTGTTCTACATGTTTAAGTTAAAAATTCCGCACAAATAAACCATATTAAAAACAACCAAATTAGCACTGATCTGATTATATAAACAACAACAAAAAAAAAAAACGCCCTCCTCTGTGCAGCTGAGAAGCTATTTTAATGACTTGTCTGTGACAATTTAGGGACTTTTTGGCTTACCTGGACTGAACTGTAGTTTTTTAAGATTTACTCCTTCAATGATTTATGGCATTATAACTATCTTATATCTTATACTTATCTTTTACTGCACAGAAGAGATTTTTGAGGGTTCTGTACTTTTAGCCATGGCTGTGTTGTTTCCACTGAGGTGCAGGACTTGACAGTGGAAAATGAGCCCACAATGAAAAGTGACAGGGACAAAAAATACACACAAAATGCTTGGAGCTAAGAGGGGGAAATCCAGTCCCGACTTTTCGTTGGGGATTTATTTGGACAAATCTTGACCATTAGGCCATTCAGAGCCCATGTTGTCTAAGAAAACTTCTTGAGCTCCACACCTGCTTTGAAAGTCATAATTGGCTTTCACGTGGAGATACATGAGCAAAACCTACCACAATGTCTTCCGGGAAGAGATTATCGCTGAAGGAGCCATCATCAAAGTTGACTTCGTAGAACGTCTCTTTAGACAGCTGCACCACATCACACTGGTAGTAGCGGCCATTCTTGTGTTTACATATGACCTTCTGTCCCACGGTCAGCTCATGCATGGCTGCTTTATTGCGCTGTCAGACAAGACAGAGGAAATAGCATTTTTATGGATTACCAATGTTGGCTGGAAACTGCTTCATGGTTCTCAGACACAGAGATGATGCAGAGAAAAGTGTAAAAAAAAAAAAAAAGTTAAGTAAATACTGTTTTTTCATCTAAGCAGCTCCTTACCTCGATCTGAGTGGGACCTTTGTGTCGACAGCAGGTAACATGGACCACGAAGGGCCATTCATCCGGCTGCATCAGTACTCCAGCAGCCTGGGCACAGGTGGGATGGTAGGCAGTGGGACAGCGGCCATGAGAGCACTGAACGCAGCAGCCAGACGCCTTCTTCATCCGCTTCTTACAGTAGTAACATTTCTGTTAGATGAAAACACGGAAGCCAGGGCTCAGCAATCTGCAGTGGGTTGAAATGACTAAGCACACATGAATTACTTTGAGTCACAGTGTTGCACCGCTGCTCTGCTTTCCAGCAGCCTGCAGTGTGAGTGTTGTTTCAACTGAATATGTGGGAAAATGCAGACGATTATTACTGCTTTCTTATTAGCAAATGTAAACAGAACCTTTAGGTAGCAGCTTGGCAGATGTTGCCTTCACGGTTAAAATGCCGCTAATGGCAGCAGGTGATATCAGCTGTCACGAAGCAACATTAACGTCATGAATAACTTCACAACAGGCCAAAATGAAAGTATTCTGTCAAAGATCACTTGTAAAGAAAATGTCTTCACTCTTTTACACTAAAGTACAATCACAAGAAGGCCAAGTGCCGCTCGTTAAAATTTCTCTCTCTCTTTTTTTTTTTCTTCATTGTCGCAAATACACCACCGCCGCATTTCTCCACCTTCACAGCAGAGTCCTGCACTGGATCGGGTACTCGCGACTACTACAGTAAACTACAGATAACTATCTTGCTCAGTCTCTACTCTTTGGGGGGTTCATACGACGTTAATTACTCGCGAGCACTAAGGTAATATATAACATAACTATCTTGCTACTCGCAAGAGTCGCGCCACAGGACGTTTACTCGCGTCTTCACATTGACTTTACATGTAAATCATTCGCGCAAATGATTTTACTTGCGTCTGGTGTGAACACAGCATAAGAAGATAAAGACGCCTGATGAAGATGATGCTAGCAAGGTATCATTAGCCTTTTAAGGACTCATAAATGATGATAAAAAAATAGTGTAATAACATATCAGACACAAACTAGAAACCTTTTTAAAATGACTAGGGTGTAGGAAAATGAGAGAAACAATCTCATTATTGTTTCTATTTGTAGGTGAAGACTGACTAGAGAAACAGGCTTCAGGGGATCAGCTTGCATCATGTATGAGCATTAGCGACCACCTCTTGGAGAATTTCTCTACAACAGAACCTTAGAGCTCTTTTATTTAAAAAAAACTTACATTTATTTATTATTTTTTGTTTTTACATGCAGCCTTTAAAAAGCCATTTTAATTGGCCATTTAATAAATAGGTTGTAAAAATAAAATCTGCAGTCAAATGTCATTTATTTACACCGCCACGGCTCCCCGGAGAGCCTGCCCCCGCTGCTGAAAAAAATCCTAGAGGAAACACTGAAATGTTACATGAATCTACCCTGTAAAATCACCTGCACTCTAATAGTTTGCTTCTCACCAGCTTAAATCTCTGCAGAGGAATCCCACTTAAATCCACAGGACTTCTTTCAGTGATGCTGACAAAACGAGCCTCCAGCACAGCCACTGCACACAACACATGGACCCACCTGCAACACACACAAAAACACACAGCACTGTTCACAAGTGACACAGTGGCAACTGACCATTCAGTCCATTTTCTGTTGGTGTGTGATTGATTGCTGTATTATATTGTTTATGGAACACATGAAGAGTTCATTTGCAAAAACAGATAACTCAATTTTTGTAGATTTTCAGAAAACCTATTTTTTGTGGTTGCTTGAGATAATATCAATCAAACTGAAGCTGAGTAGATTTGACTCAGTAGAAATGACATGTCAAAAATAGCCTGATAACCTAAGTTTGATTGATGTTGTCTCAAGTAGACGATTGAAAAGTGGGTTTTCTGAAGGTTTGGGAAGATTAAGTTATTTGTTTTTGCAATTGAACTCTTCACATCTTTTTAAACCAATATATGACTGGTTATGTGAGGGTTTCTTAGTCACAACACAGTTGTCGTTCTCCACCCATCCTTCTTGCCAGATTCGGCTCCCTGTCATGTCTTTCGCAAAATGAACTTAAAGTTGAAGGGTCACTGTTTTATTGTGTAATGTGGCCTATAGCACCACCTTCTGATATTACACAACCTGATTTATTTGCTCCAACATCCTAATTCGCATTTTCTTGAATTATGGTATGCAACATTTCAAATTTTTTCTTTATATTCTCTTTAAAATTGTACAGATGCATAACTTGTATTTTTGTCCACATTATTAGTCAAAAATAAATGAAACTCTATTGTTGGGACATATTTGTCAATCAATTATAGATTAACCACCATTGTCCTGAGATAAACTTCCATCAGATGGATCACATCAGTTCCAGTTTTCAGACACAAAACTTCCATATTGGCTGTTCAGGTAAGAAAAACACTGCGGAACTCTGCATCAGTTTGATTAGATTCACTGATTGTTTAAAGCAGGGGTTCTCAACTGGTGGGTCGCGGACAGCTGCTCAAAATTAAATAATATGTGCGTCTCAGGTTGGACTTATTTTTTATTTTGAAAAAACTTTTATTTTGACAGGCACGGTAACCATAGTTTGACGTTCATTTTAAGTTTGTGTTGATGTTGGGACGCAAGATGGCAAAGCGCAAATATGTCCCGGAGTATTGAAAATGTGGATTTTCATACTAGGGCTGGACCTGAATAGATGAATAGCCAACTATTCGTTCGCTGTGCTGGAATCGGACTTAAATAAGAAATCGCCACATTCCTCTCTGAGACTAACTCCCTGTACTGTTTGACAACGAAATGTGGCTCGCACGAGAGCATCAGCTGGTGGAGCTGTCATGTGATCAGACACTGAGAAAGAGATTTGGGGAGGTAAGCCTTTCCCACTTCTGGTGCAGCGATGTGGCGGCTGAGTATCCATCCCTCACCACTCTTGCAGTTAAAACAATCTTACCATTCAGCTCAACCTGTTTGTGTGACAGTGTCTTCTCTACCTTGGTCCAGCTCAGGTCACAGCAGAGAAACAGGTTGGACACTGAGCATGATCTGAGAGTAGCTCTGTCTACTGTCACCCCAGACTCTGAAACTCTAATCAAGAGTAGAGCAAGTGTCCAACTGTCTCACTAACTTCAACAAATTACCTGATTAGGCCAAAACTTCATTTTCGAGTAGTTTTGACATTTATTTTATTCACTTCTGTACATGCAGTTGTCATGGTCCTCCTTAGTTTCTTATCAATTTGCTCAAAATGGAGTGAAAATATGTTTTTTTGTGCCCTTTTAAAAAAAATTTGTGCAGTTTTGTACATGCAGTTGTCATGGTCCAGTTACTATGCATGGTTATATGCTCTGAAATGCATGTTGCACAGGAAAATATATTGAATATTGAATTCTAAAAAAAAGTGGGTTGCGACTTAATGACCATGGGAAAATGTGGGTCCCAGGGTGAGACCAGTTGAGAACCCCTGTTTTAAAGGATGAAGTGCAAATTTATTGAAATACCTAGACGCACGTCCCCCGCGGTCCTGAAGCTTCTTAAAGTACTTACTTGTTGTTGTTGGCTTTCTGCAAGGCGCCGCCTCTCAGCGAACACAGGCAGCAGTTCTACAAAAACAACACATCATGATTAAACTGTCCAGACAAGCATTAAAGAGCAAAATCTGTCTTTCACTCTTGTAGCTGGTGGTAATCAACTGAAATTTTACTTGTATCCATCAGTGCCAGAAGTGGGCAGTCATGATGGTTTCTATTGCTACTTAATAAAAAAATAACTGATCTGATCAATTCAAAGTTGAAAAAAAAAAAACAAACAAGTTTTAAACTGTATCTGCACTACTAACAAGCTTCACAAGCAGAAAACTAATATTTTTCTAGCACTAAAGTCCATTTTATTTAATATGTTTTAGGATATATGTGTTTGATCAACAGCCGTAGAAATAACCCTAATTTTTCAAAGACCATTAGGATTCACTAGTAGAAAGAAATTGGCCACTGTGCTTAGTAATGTACAAGTAGAATAAATCCAGGCACAAGTGTTTACTGACCTCGGTCATGGCGTTGGCCTTACAGCGTGCACACTTCCACTCTTTGCTCACACTGGCTGGATCAACACCATAACAAGCTGCAGCAGACAAACAAAGACACAGTTACAAATCTGTAACACAGGCTGTTACTTATCTGTAGCCAGTATTCTCAGCTGAAGCATGTCTCTGTACGTACTTGTGTGAACACGAACGCTGCACTGAGAGCAGCTGATAAGGAGGCTGGTTCCATCTTCCTCCAGATGAGGGCTGGTGGGCTGCTCTTCACACTCTGAGTCCTCCTCTGTTGTGGTGGTGAAACACATCTCTGGGATCAGAGGTTTGGTCCGCATGCGCCCACCGGCCACCATGACAGGAGTGTCCACACTGCTTGCACATTCAGTCTGACAGCAGGCACACATGAACAAATATGGACTTTCATTAAAACTCCAAGTCTTCTTCATTAACAGCAACTGTACATCTGTGGTGTTGGCATGTTGTACTCAAATCTGTATTACCTTACTTTAATCCCACACATCTACATTATAATGCTCTATTATCACTGTACATGGTGGCAAAAGATGATGCACTTAGGTGTGAGTGGAGAGGAAACATATTACACCTCTGTAAACTTTATTCTAGATAAAATGCTAGATCTGAAGCATGTTTTGCCTGTATTTTTATGTACTTTGTTGTTTTTCTTTTAACATATGGAAACACTGTATTGTGACATGCACTCTTGCTTTAGAGGGAAAAAAGTCAGTTGTGAAAATGCGCGGGTGTTCACATATAGTTGGTTTTTCCTGCTGCCTAAAATAGTGGATTAATCCTGGAGGGCTGCTGATGTGGCACTTTTCTACATATGAAAGTAAAACAGCAATTTTCTGACCAAAGAGAATTTAGTCAGATGAGAACATATCGACCAGTCCACCTGGAGACTAATCTCTAATTTTGTCAAAACCCACAGGTCCCGTTTGTAACACAGGCCTTTTGTTAAATAAAATAAAGGCATATATTAACTGATATTAATAAAGAGAAAAATAAGTTTCGTTTTATTTTGTCCTTGTTAACTGCTGGCCTCTATAGTATAGGTTGTATATCTTGGTGTAGTTCAGTAGATGATAGGTAATGACAGGTGAGTGAGTACCTGCTGGTATGTGTGGAAGAGCAGACAGATGGAGCAGTATGGAGGTTTGGAGCCAATGCGCTGGTTGTACTCCCGCTCCTTCTTCAAGTTGGGAGGTCTGCTCTGCCACAGGTGAGTCAAGGGTTTAGCCCAGTTCTCCCCTTCCAGGCCACCCTCCTCAACTGTGGGAGCCTCATCTAGAGCTTCTGAGACACAAAAAGCAAAGATAACAAACACATTTAGATCAAATAACTATGAGGATAGTATTAGACTGAGAGTTTGTGTTAAGACAGACCTTCATCACTCATGCCGTCCTTTATGAGCGGATGGTGACCTGGCAATTGTCCCAGATCGCTCTCCTGCTCTCCATCTCCAGCCAGCACTTCTGCAACCTGCTGGAGAGAAATACTGGTTGTTAGCATTGAGGATAGACCTTACTGGTAGTTTGATATTTTTTGTACAATTCTATAGTGCCTCAAAGCAGCAGAATCTTACCACATCTCAACCCAAGCATGAAGTAGAATTCAATCAAATTGTGTAAATAATCAGTTATCTTCCATTTACTGCCCTCAGTGTTATTCCAATATAAGTTAAAGCATTACAACATGAAAGGTTTGACGTTTTTTGTTCTTACATAATGAGCTTGTATGTGGTAATAACATGAAAATATCCTGTTATAGCAATAAACCTTCCATGTTGATACTGATCAGTTTTCCTTACTGGTCTGGCAGCAATACATTTATGTACATACTGAACCAATGGCTGGACAAAAGACTTATAATAGGAAGGGCTGTGATTACTATGCTATGATTATTTAAGACATATATTGCAATATGAGTCATGATTTTTGTGGGAATGGTAATTTTTGCATTTTTTTGCCTCCCAAAAAATAATTAAAAAATTTAAAAAATAACGTTAAAATGCTGTGATGTTTTTTTTCCTCTAAAGAAACTTATTTGTAGGCCAGGGCTTCTATGTAGCGCACATCATTTATAATGGTATGTTGTGACAAATTTATTTTTTTTATCAAAAAAGTGCAGTTTCTGCAATTTGGATACTGCATTTGTCCATATTGCATTTTCAGTATTAAGTTCAGTTTTAAGTAATTGTTCAGCCCTACTGCCAAGTGTGCAATGCTAATAATTCAGAGGCTAAAATTTGCACACAAAAAAACACAGCTTTAGTCCATTAACAACTGTTGCACTGTATGAAGTGTTTTAACATTGCACACTTACTGTTTTGTTAAGGTGACTGTTGTCTTTCTCCATCTCGTTGTCACTGCTCTCACTCTTTTTCTCCTCCTTAGGCAGGACGTCACCTTCTCCGTAGTCTCCTTTGGCGTAGCTGTGGACGTGCAGGACGTCTGCAGGGCTCAGCGTCCTCTGGAACAGTTTGTGTGCCGGGCTGCAGCTGCTGCTCAGCTGAGGCTCCTCACTGCCCCCGGCGTCCTCGGAGCTCGGAGTCACCACCTGCCTCTCCACAGGTTCAGGAGGACAGACGTCAGTGGCCGACATGCCGTTCTTCTCTTTCTTTAAAGGACTTCGTCTGTTTGAAGTTTTCTTGTTGTTTGCTTTGGACTGAGATTTGGGCTGTGGCTTGGTGTCCTTCTCCTTCTTAACCTCTGGCTTGACTTTCCCTGGTTCTGAAAGAGGGATATGTTTTTGAATCTACTGAAACGATGAGTTTGTCCAAAAAACAATCACATTTTTTGAAGATTGTTGCTAAAGAAGAGTGGTCCAAAATGGCACTGAAGACATACAAAAAGCTTGTTAGCAGTTAAATGAACTGTTAAATTGCTGTTGTGAAAATTAAGAAAATATTTTTTTTCATTTATAACTCCAACACATTGAACTGGTATAAATTATTTTTGGACATTTGAGTAAAAATGCAAAATAAAAAATAAACACAGAAATAGTTGTCATTTTTAAAAAATTGATATGTCTAAAAAAATGTTTTAGCATCTTATGTCTTGTTTATGTGATTTTCAGCCAGAAGAAATCTATTTGTCAAACAAAAAAATCCAAATACATCAAAATTGTCACAGTAATGATTAAGTTTGGGCTTAAGTGTTCAATTAATTCAATTTCAAATCAAATTCAATCCCCATCTCAAGGTGTTTTTCACCAGTCTTTTTTTTTTTATAAATAGAAATAAAAACTTTTTAAAAAAGCATTTTATGAACAGTGTGCTACCTTTATCTGGCTTGGCAGCAACTTTAGTTGGAGACTCCTTCCGTGACAGCTTGGCATTCTTTGGCTCCACCTCCTCAGTTTCCTTCGTTGTCACCTCTGGTTTGACATCTTCAGTGGCTTCAACAGTTTCAAGTTGACGCTTCATCCCAGTCTGAGGCGTTGGACTGATGCATGAGAGACAGCAATGAAGACATGTTGAACAAGACTCACCTCTGCTGCAGAGCAAATAGATCGTAGCAGTGCAACTTCCATCACTGGTGATTGTGATTGTCGCTGTCAGCTTAGTTCTGACACAGATAACATTATAAGGCTGTTATAAAAACACAACAGCCATGAATCTGAAGCTACCTACCAAACCTACCAGAGTGATTGATGGGCATCTTTAAAACACAATAACTTGCAATCACCCATGTGAGATTATTTATTTTTTCTATAATTACTTATTACCTCTTGATTCAGCTCTTCTTTTAAATGTGAGGTGAAACTCTGATCCACAGACAACAATGTGACACACTAGTGGGGCGCTTTTTCACAACAACACATTTAAAAGTGAGACTAAGGTTAATGCAACTTTATAAATGTTTAGAGACGTTTTCTTCATAGTCCAATTTTAAAGACCTGTTAAAACAGTTTTTAGGACATTTAAAGGTCTTTTAACTTTTTTTTTTTACTTTTTATTATGTAACAATATAATAGGCAAGGTTTCACACTGATAGTAGGACAACTGTGGTGTTGATGGTTTAGTAAGGAGAGTAAATCCAGACCTTTTGTCCTCCTGGATAGGAGCAGTGGGCTCCTCACATCCAGCTTCACTGAGACTCTCTGTCTTAGGCTCGATCTTGTCTTCTTTCAGGAACTCAGCAGCCTCCGGTGTGGGTTTCGAGTGGTCGATGGGAGTATTGTCTTTTCCTGCCTTCCACAGCTTGTAACGGTCAGGCTGAAACTTGCGTACAAACACATCCATGGAGATCTTCACCATGTCCTGACGGCATGAACACTGGGAGGAGAACACACATCGATGGTCATCAGAGTAGTAAAGAAAATGCTTTGAGAACAGCTGCAGTCATTGCTGGGGCTGAAAGAATTGACATACTTCAGATATTCTGGGTTCTATTTGAAAACTCTGTCTTATTATGTCCACAACCCAAAGACACTGCAAAAGCTGTATTCAGTGTTTTGATTATTTTTTATTTTAAAAATGTACTTAAGCTGATGAGCTTATTAACAAAAGAGTTAGTAACTGATTAATCAATTTTTTGTGAAGTATCAAATAATTGACAACGAATCGAACAATCAATTAATTGCTACAGCTCTGATTACCTTCAAAAGCAGAAAAGCACGACATCAATAACTTTCCAGGATTAGTCCACTACTTTCGGTGGCGGGAGGAAGAGACTACTTGTGAACACTGTCACGTTTTCACAACTTTGAATGGAACAAACCTGATGGAGATTGCAAGGTCTATCTTATTCAACGCTGACTGAACATTCATTCAGACGAGATACCAATTAACTAACATCATGCCAAAGATGTCAGTGCAGCTGCATTTTGTTTAAACAAATGACAAAAAATAGACGTAAACTCTTTAAAGAAGTAATAAGTACTCCTTTAAGACTTATTACTGCAGGTTATTTTAATGTCAATGTCACAGAGGTACAGAACTTTATATTGTAGTGAAAAAAAGAGCCCATTGGGTAAAAATGTGGCAGGAGCATAAAATGCTGAGAAACTGCTTGGTGTTTAGTGGGATTGAATGGAAATTATATTTACCAGTGTTGCCTGCTTGCCATAATCGATCCATCGCTGGGTGGCAAAGTTGGTGGACTCGGCACAGTTGAAGCCATGGTTGAAACCAGCATGATAGCCAAATGGGAATGTCACAATAAACTGCCCGGCTTCCTGAGTCACCTGAACATAAAAAACAACACACAGAATTTCAAAAGCTGACACATAATTTGCAGAATTTGACTGTCCACTTGTTTGTCCATCAATATTATTTGAGAATTTTTTTTCTATACTAAATAAATGAAAGCATTACCTTTTCAAATGGTATGCCATATTTTTTCAGGATTGAGGGTGAAATTAAAGTCATTTTGTGGCGCAAGAAGGCTTCACAGCTTTGTGCATTCCCTGGAAAGAAACCTGGAAATACAGGAAACCATCCACATCATCAGCACAGTAACTAACTCTCTGACTGTGTTTCGGTACTTTGTGTATAACTGTTAAAGTAAACAGAATTTCTAGTACATCCTCTGAGGTTCTTTCTGAAAAGAGATTTGAATTTAGCAACAATGAGTAGGAAAAACAGAAGTAACTTGAGGCACCCAGGGGTTAAAGTTGGTGTATCAATACTGTGAATGATCAGTTAGTGCATCACTTACCTTTGGCAAGTCTTTCTAGTCTTTTTCCATGCTCTGGTGGGACAACATACCTGAGGAGCAACAAAAGCACAAGTATATAAAATAAAATGTTGTGATAGTTGTGACATTGGCAGCAGTGTAAAGCCAGCCATGTCTGACATTTGTGAATGTTTTCACAAAGGTCAATATTTATCATTGGTAGCTCTAATAAAGTCAGGTCTCAATACATTTATCAACACTTATGGAGAACAAAAAGAAACTGATAGGAAAAAAGGTTGATCTCTGTTGGTTTTATCTTCTATATAAAAAAAACATCAATCTGGGCAATCCAGTTACTATCACCATCAAAGCTAGAGAAATAGTTTCTAAACATTTTTTCCAAAGTAGTTTTTATTTATAGCTGCATAGTGCCCCCTTCTGGTAAAAATGAAAACTACAGATTGTGAAAATTCAAGCGCTCATCAGTGAGAACATTAAAACCATCCATCCATCCATCCATTATCTATACACTGCTTAATTCTCACTAGGGTCGCAGGGGGCTGGAGCCTATTCCAGCTGACAAAGGGTGAAGGCAGGGGACACCTGGACAGGTTGCCAGTCCATCCCAGGGCTACACTTAGAGATAGACAACCAAGCACACTCACATTCACACCTATGGACAACTTAGAATCACCAATTAACCTCAACATGTTTTTGGACTGTGGGGGGAAGCCGGAGAACCCACGCTGCACAGGGAGAACATGTAAACTCCACGCAGAAAGATCCTGGGTGTCCTTACCAGGACGTGGAGGACACAATAAAACCAGTCTGCCTAATATTGTGTAGGTCCCCCTCAGCATCTTGAAGTCTTTGCCGGGTTCCTCAAACTATTCCTGAAAATTTTTTGCATCATTTGGATGAAAGAGGCCACTGCCATCTGGAAATATTGTTCCCATGAAGAAGAGTATGTGGTCTGCAACAGTGTTTCAGTAGGTAATACATGTCAAAGGCATATCCACATGAATGAAGGAACCAAGGTTCTTCCCATAATGCTTTCTGCTACCATTTCTTCTGCAGGTAAACAAAGCACCCGGCTGTCCACACAACGTAAATATAAACAAGACTTTTCTTAACAGGTCACCTTCTACCAATGCTTCATGGTCCAGTTCTGATGCTCACATGCCCATTCAATGAGCTTTAAGCAGGACAGCGGTCAGCATGGACACTCTGACTTCACCGATTGCTCTGCAGCTACACAGCCTCATACACAGCATGCTGCCATGATCTGCGTTTTCTGACACCTTTCTCACACAGCTATGTAAAGATTTTCTTCTGTGGAATTGGATAACAAATGTTACAATGCTACTTAAAGAATCCCAAATAGAAATCTATGGAAGAATCCTGTAACATGAAAGATGGCTGGATGACACATTTCACCCATACCCCTAAAAAAAGCTGACATTCTCCTGAAACATCCAGACAATCTTGTTTTTACACTGACTCAAGTGTTGACAAACTGTGTGGATGCGTAATAGACATATAACCTTCAGGATTAAAATAGTGTTTTTAAACATTATTTTGAACTTTTAAAGCAAATATTATTAGATTATATAGACGACATCTTTCAGTGGTTTTAGTGTTGTGGCTGATCAATGTATAATCTGTAGTGAGACTGACAGTGTCATTGTATGTTTTACATAAAGGTTACTAAAACCAGATGCTGCTGAAACATGTGCAGCAGTGAGAAGCTGAAAAGCAGAAACAGTGTGTGACATGGTGATGTGTGTCTGTGTGAGGCTCTTTCAGTGACCGTTACCAGGATTTTGGCTCTCCAAAGTGCAGGTAGTTGATGCTGTACAGATCCATGTCCTCTGTGTGCCATGCAAAGGCGCTCTTCCACATCCCAAAATACAGGTACGGGGTGTTGACTCCTTTGATCTTGATGCCACTCTCATTCTCCACAGTGTCCAGGATGGTGTTGAGGCGACCGATGTTCCATTCAGTCACATCCTGCAGAGAGGGATTCAAAGCAGGCTGTAAATCATGACAAATCTGGAAATTTGCAACCCACATACATTGAACTGGTCAGTAAAACAAGACAGTACTAAAGATGACACCAAATTGCATACATGTATCCAACTTATGACTACTTACCGGATCATATAGTGTTCCACTGACATCAGCACCATAAAGTGGAGGGTTAAAGGTCAGGTTCTTCCAAAACTTCCTCTCCAACTCATCAAAATCTACATATCGGGGACTGCAGAACCTACAGACAGAAATGTCAACAGATAATCAGTGAAAATTATTTTAAATGCGAAGAGAAATCATTTCAAAGAGATTATAATGTGATAGTCAACAAATGCAAAACATTTCTAAATGAACTTTAGTTCGTCGTTTCAGTATGTAAACTGACTTGTCCATGTTGGAGGTCTTGCGGAACTCGTGGACAGTCATTGGCTTCTTCTGGATGTTGTATTGTGTGAACAGTCCTGACTGGCCGGTCACCACCTGCTGAATGGGAGCTGGAATCACCAGGTCATCGATATCGTCGTACGTTTTTCTGGGTTTCCAGCCTTTAGGTGGTATAACCTGCAAGACAATAATGAAATCAATGCTGTGGAAAATTTACATTAGTCTTAATTTATCAAGACAAGATAGCGTTGTAATTCTACCGCCTTGAGTGTTTCTGACATTATCGGAAAATTCCATACTAAAGTCTGCTACTCTCTGTCTATTTATCCGTCTTACCATTCATCCATCTATTTTTAAACTGCTTATTCCATTCACTATGAATTAACAATCAATAAATATAACTTATAATTAAACCAAGCAATTCTGGGCTTTTGTGGACATGATTGAAAATTAACAGTTCATGGTCAAATTCACTTTTGCACTGTAAATTTGCTGTTTTTCTTTTTCAGTGTAAATATTGTTATTACTTAATTATTGCTATTTTCTTGTACTTTCTGTCTAGATTTTTGGATGCTGCTGTGGCATGTTAATTTCCCTCAATGGGGGATCAATAAAAAATTATTCCATTCTATGACGTTTTGCATTTTTGTATCAATTCCTGTGTCCGGCATGTGGTGCGGGAGAACATGCATGACTCCGAGAGTCTCGACATCATACATGTGCCAACTGTATTTGGAACATGTAAGTGAAACTTAAAATAAGGGCTGTAACTTTGAAGCCTTGTAGGGATACTGTAAAATAAATGAATGAATAAAAGAATGAATAAATAAATAAATGAAAAAAAAAAAATCACCATTTCTGAGGCATTCACAAAGCTTGATGTTTTCCAGCAACTTTAGCTGCTGAAAAATGTGATTCATATTGAATAGTAATAATAATGCCTACAGATAATGCCTGCTAATCATGATCAACAATTTTGGCCAAAATAATAACCACAATTCATTTAAAAAATAATGAGCTCCTGTTAATTTATCACAATTATTCACTTATTTTAGGAGCAAAACACTTACATTGTACTTTTCACATTTCAATAAACAGAGCAGTGGTTGCAGTTTCATGTTTTGCAACATTCCTGCAAATGTACAAACTTTTGAATCAAAATAGGGCTTGATATAATTTTCTGCTTACTTTTGCCATTCCAGCTCTGTGTGCTCCTTGAGACTCCATATAGGCAATGTACCGGCCAAAGTTCTTGAACTCTTCTTTGGAGGGGGTGAACGTCATTATCCTGGAGCCCACGCTTGGGGCTGGTGTGTCTGTAGTCATCTTGGGATTGTTGCTTTGCCCTCAACTCTGATAGGTGGAAAACATGGACATGAACATGAAAACATCTGGGCTGGATGTGCGCAGTGACATGTTTAACAGAGTCTGGTTTGCCTTAAAGAACTTCCTCTTTTCAGTCAGTCAGCGTCAGCTCTCTACCTTAAGTACACTGCTTAGCTTCTATTTGAGAAGTCAGTGGAACTTTGACTGAATTACGACTTAACAATTAATCAAAAATCACAGTGTAGACAAGTACAACATCCAAATCACAGAAGCTACGAAGTTTTGACAAAATGTTAAATTATTGCAACATACCATTACAACAAAATAACATACACATTGAAAATAAGGCTGAACAAGTAATAGATTACAAATCAAAATCACAACTTGACACAGTGCAGTTAGGAAATTGCAAAGGCTGCAATTTAGGAAATATGTGGTGTAGCGATTAAATATTGAGAATAATTCTGCAGGTTAGTTTTACTGAATTTTATGCACACTTTGGTTTGACTGACATAAGCCCAGTATTGTTATGTAATACCACACAACATGCATTTTGCAGCTTGTCTGACCAGGGTTTAAACTGTGGCATCAGTGTTTTTGCAAATTCATGCAGTCCTCCTTGTGATTTTTGATGATTTGCCACAATGTAATGCTCAATTACATTTTAAATCTAATACCCAGCAAATACTGAAAGCTTGACTTTTAAAAAGCATTTCACAAATCAAATCGTATTATCCCTCCATTATCCATTTATTGTTGTTATTATTATTATTATTAGACAAGCCAAAGTCTAAGAGAGTTATTGTATACAATGGATGTGGATGGCCATGTGTTATTAAAGAGGAACAGTTTACTGTCCATTTTTCCAGCTTTATATCTGTATTTGTTTTATTAATACTACTGATACAAAAGTATGTAATGGTACTGCGAATATTTATTCTTACTGTCATAGAAGACCAAGAATGTACAGGGCTGTAGAATTGTCGCTTTAAAAATTAACAACAATATTTCTGGAAAAAAGAAGAAGTTTTTAACAAACCCCCAATTTGCCTACATGTTGTATGACGCTCATTAAAAGAACCGAGAAGATATTTAACTTTTAGCTAACAGCTAACGGGCTTTACGGACTTCACCAGCCAAACGCTGAAAAGTAGGTCTGCTGTGATTGGACAGAATCCTGAACCTCGGCCTGTGAGTGGTTAAGAGCCACGTCTGTCACACGGCGTGGCCCACTGACAGCGAAGCTTCTCGGAAAATTATTTAGCTAGTCCGCTAGCTAACATGCTAACTGCGAGATAGCTTGTTCTTCGAATTAAAAGTGACATCAACAAAAAAACAAACCCTTTCTGATGTTCGGGAGTAAACAGCAAGTAAACAAAATTCGCACATAATACAAGTCGCGCTGTCAGAACTGACAGGAGTTTATTGCAGAAGCGAAGTGTGACTCGGAGATGTGACAGCTGCCTCCTCTCTCAGCTAACCAACTAGCAAACATGGCTTGTTGCTGACCGTCAGTTTCTCCTGCACAAACTTAGAGTTACTTCCGCTTTCCTGCCCGAGAACTGTTTCTAAAGTGCCAGACTTTAACTTACACACGCTGAAATGCAGAGGAGTTGTTTCTTTCTCAGTTCACGGGTAAAAGAGTAGAAATACAGACATCATCAGTCCGGCTGGAAAAGACAGTCCTCCATTATTCCAGTGACGCATGCCCAGTGTGTGTTTGTTTACATAGAGCGCAGGAGGAGGGGCTTCCGTAGCCCCACAGCCAATCAGAACGCTCCGTTTGCCAGACCATGCCTCATCGAGTTTAACTCTCTGAATCCCAAGCTGGGCGTTTTTTTTTTTTTTTTTTTTTTTTTTAAAACTCCTGTCACATTTTTACTCACTGTGGACTAATTTTTCTAATTTAGAGAAGTTTATCTTCTTTGCTGAGTTGTTTTACAAGATGTGCAACATTTTTCCAAGTTCTGACAGATGCTGCGGATACTGGACATAAACAAAATACTGGTGGCTAATCATACTGTTTTTGTATAAATTAATTCATTTAAATTGTACTGTTGGATGTTTTTTGGCATTTGTGGCACAAACTAAATTGAAAAAAAGAACATTTCAATGATTGATATTTTCTTAAACTCAGGCTCTATCTTCTTCTGACAACAAGCATATTTTTTTATGTTTATTAAAATAAAATGATATAGGTAGGAGAGAAAGGTAGAGAGGACCAACTTGCGGATGTCCTAGCAAAGTTTATGGGGTTAAAGAGTCCTAAAAGCACAAACTGCAAAACCTTCTGCGTCTGTTTAATAACTTTTTTTGACAACAGCTCTGAGACATCAATCTTTTTCTGATTTTCACTTTAGGCTGCTTTGCATTTCAAATCAAATCAAGTTTATTGTCATTTTGCTGTACATACACAGTAGTACAGGCAAGATGAGAGAGCGTTTCTTCAGGAGCATTTAATGAGTAAGTTTTGTGGAATGCACATCTGGGATAGGCTAGACACTAAACGTTGACTCTCGTTGTCTCCTCAAGAGGCCACTGCCTCCATGCGCACCGCTATCATGTTGAACATGGTGAACCTCTTCAGTTCCTGGTAGGTCTTCAGGGACACAAAGACCCACACGATGGTGTGATGATGGTGAAGCCACAGATGCTGCCCAGGGCTAGCTGCCTGTTTGTCCACCTGGAATAATGTGGTCCCCTCCAACTTTTCAGATATAGATTTATCTGTCTGCTTTTCACCAGGCATTTTGCAGATTAAGATTTTAAGAACAAAATACGATCACCTCAGCCAATTTTAAAACTAAAATGCTTCTTAGATGTGAATACATCACTAATAAGTACTTTTACCTAAAATATATTTTGTTGACTAGAACTACTATTACAGTTGTAGGCCTCTGCCAACAAGTTAAGTTGCAGTTTACACCAATCTGTCCTTGTGTTCCTGTGCTATGGTATTGAATAACAGCCAAAAAAGTGTTTTTACAGAGCATTATGATGTCAACCTTCGATCCTTTTGGATATAAAGTGTCAGCGCATCTCCTGTTAATGATTAAACCCCTAAAGACTCATCCTTAAAATAGCCCAGATTCAACTGCTGTGAAGTCCTCGCCTCTCCTCTGCAACGAAAAGTTGAAATACACTTATAATTCAGCCATGCATGTCCAAACCAAAGATCGATTCTGGTGAAGAATAGTGATACAGAAAGTCCCACCTGACATGCTGAAAAGATGAGTTCTTTAGGTTTGTTACATATGAATCCTGGAAGTCTGAATTTGTGTTTTTGCAGCTGACATCAGTTGTACCAGGGTGGAAATGCTAAGCCATGGTGTTGACTGCTTATTTCACTCATGATGTGTCTTCCAGCATATAAAACCACCAACATATTAACAAGGTAACAGAATCTGTATTTTCATTGGAGGAGCTATTTAAACAAAGGATCTAAAAACATAATGAAAGACGAATAAAATTCATCATAAATGGAATCTGCTGAGACTCTGAATTTGCTTTGATAAGTGTTCTCTTGAAAAAGTTTCCCTAATAATGTGAAACAAGTCTTAACAGGCAACAGAAGAGAGCGAAGTGAAAGTGGGGGAATGGACACAATGTCCATTATTTTTACCATCAGTCACAGAGCTACAAAGTTAAAGAAATCACTGCTTTTATATTAAAAACCCAATTTTTCAACTTTATTAACATCAAGGTTTTCAAGACATTTTCTCTGCTTTTTATTAACAAATAGAAAACAGATCATTTGTACAACAGAAAGGACCCCTACAGCACGACTATGTGAAATGAATCCACTTCATCCGAAACCCACCTCACTCTGTCATCCAGTGAAAACCACAGAGATCCACCAGTGAACAGTGATGTTGCTCTGAGTTACAAGTCTGTCCATCTGCAACACAGTAATCGAATAATTGCAATATATCTGAAATGGGGATCCATTGCATCCCATCCTTGTTGAACTGGGATTTCACACTTTGTGAGTTTTCAAATGGTCTAATAGTGACCCCTTACGTCGTACACTGTTAATGCTGTAAAATTCAGACTCGAACTGTTTAAAAACATCAACTTTTTTTTTTTCTATGTCAAAAAATCCCACGTGAAGACCCAAATCAACAAAAAACCGATTGAACAAGTACTGATAACTGCGTACAGCACTGTGTGTAACCTTATTTGATAGATATTTGGGTCACTTCTTGTTATTTCTGACATTTTTTTTTTTATCATGTCAATAACGCCTATTAACAAAACAGTTGTTTTTATTTTCTTTATTTTCAATTCTTGTCATTTTTTCTGAGTAAAACCTCTTTGGAGGTGGCCAACAATTCTTTAATGCAGGAAAAATGCTGGTTTATTTTGCTTTAACTCCAAGTACATTATTCTGCTTCCCCAAATGTCTCCACAGCTCTACGTATCTTACTGTAGAATGGTTTGACTACATCTTGTTATCATTCTGCTATAATGGGGAAAAACTGTTCTGGCTTTTTTATGTTTTTCAAATCAATCACACTCCTTTTGGGCGGTGCTATGTCCAGGATTCAGCAAAGGTGTCCAACACCAAAAAATTCTCCTGCAAAAATGCACAAATTATTGAATAATCTTTAGAATTGAAAATAAATCCTGCCATTTTTAACTATGTATATTTTCAGTAGAAACCAGTGGTCCTGGTTGTGAGAGCCACAGAGTACAAAATAATGTTTGCTGTTGGTCTTGTCATGGGATTTTCTGACAGCAGGAACAATCACATAATATAAAGGTGGATTAATCTCTCACGGTGAAGGTTGAGTATTGGAATGATGTTCTGGATAGAAAACAGCTGTCATAAATTGGGGGGAAGAGATTGAAGTTCTTCCGTGTTGTCTTTTCTTTATTCATACACGGAGCATGAGATCCGCATTTGACGTTATTTCACAAAAAAATCTCACGAAGAGGCTGTGTGTGTTTCGTCTACCTGAGTCCACATTAAGAGTACACCCATACCATTCCAACAGCTTCATTTTTCTTTTGTTGAAAGTCTTGAAATTAGTCAACAGTTAATGACAAGAAACTCTGTACATGCTAGCAGTTATTCAGATGTGAATAGTCTTTGCACATTTATAGCCATGTAGCTCACGAACCGTATCTGCTTATTGGATCTGTTTGGTAAATATCATTGTTCTGTTGGATGTCAAGACAGAAAGTCAAAACCCACGTTTCCCTCTAAATAAGACCAACGATAACATTAGAATATCATATCTATGGTACAAAACAAAATCATTAGCAGCTGTGAGTATACGATCTCCAGGATTAATAACTTGGAGCATGTTGAAAACACATGTCCTGTGTGCTAATAAAAATAATAAAAAGATAAGCAAATTAAGAAAAGGCCCATTAAGACATATATAACCAGTGTAAGTGATCACAAAATAATTTGTAAATATGCAGAACAACATGATGAGTATAAATGAAAAGAGCAGAAAAAACTGTTTTTGCTGTTAAGAGGAGGCAGAAAGTGGGAGTGACGGGAATCAGAATGAGGCGTGACTACAGTACGAGTCTGTTAGGGTTGGGAGGTTTTGGTGTTGGGGGGGTCTGTGGCAGAATCATGGCACCAGTCCAGGAGGAGGTCTCTCCTCTTCCCTCTCATCTCCTCTGATTCCTGCTGTCCTCATCAGTCCTCCTCGTAGCCTCCTCATCAGGCCGCAGGGACTGATGGAGCTGAGTGGATATGGCTCAGAGGAGACACCGAACTCTGCTGAGGGTGTCTTTCTGGGTGGGGTTATGTTGCATAGTGGTCAAAGCTTCCCAGGTACTCCAGAGCAGCCCGGTAGCACAGTTGGTACTGGTCCTGGAGACAAAAAAATCAGATTCAAATCAGCTGTAAGTCAGGATCGAAGCTGTGCTAAAGTCAACCTGTCCTCACACCTAAAACAAACTAGTACCTCTGTCTGCACCATGGCAGGCCGCTGAGTTCGGAGAGTCTTGACAGTCTGGAAGAGGTCGACCACTCCCTCGTACCTCATCCTCTCCAGGACGATGCTCAGGGTGATGAACACACCAGTCCGCCCAACACCAGCACTGAAGGACACACACATTATTAGATTTTTATAATGTAAAATATAAACAGCTGCCACTCACAGCTGCTTGTGTTCTGTAAATCTGTGTCAGGTTAAAATCATAACTTCAGAAAACCTCCAAAGGATGCTGACACGCTAACTCCACTGTGAGTGTGTTTGCCTGTTATGTCACATACTGATTTGCTTTGTTACTAAATACATAGGAGGCACAGAATCATTTCACGTAGATTCCTGGAAACCCACTGCCAAGAGAAGAGCGGTGCTTTGTGAGAGAGGTGTCTGCAACCTCAAAACATTAGAGCAGAAAATAAGGAAATAAACTGTGAAACAGAAACCAATGTAGTTGGAACTATAATCAGATACAACAGTCTAATATTAAATTCAGCCTGGCTGAAACCCTGTGTCCGAGAGGTGCTGCGGGTTATGGTGATGTTCTATTGGATTGCATCTTATAATAAGGTATGTGAATACGTGAAATATATACAAACACTTCTTTAAACTCCATCTTTAAACAACGATTTACTTCAATCCACCTGACCTTTTCAAAACACCTGTATAGCAACAAAGTAATTTCTCAAACTGATGTATATCTGCTACAACCAACCATAATCAATACATACATTCATATATTACAGTGCTTTGTTTTTTGTAAGAAAGGTACAGTTGATGCAAAGCAGATTGGATGAAAGAGTCTAAACTTCAATCTTCAGGTCTCTCTACAAAGTCAGAGACTTCTCCTGAACATACTTCAGTGTTTGCTTACCATGGTGAGCATCTACAGCTAAAAGTGAGCCAGCTTTGAGAAAGAGTTCAGCACAAAGATGACTGGATAGCCCACCACTCTCACTTTGCGAAACAAGCCTCAGTGTGTACTTACAGCAACTCCTCTTTCTAGACAACTTTTACACGAGGACTATGGTAAGAAGAGGAAAACAATCACATGACATTGACTCTCTCTCACACACCAACACACTCACAGTTACCTGCAGTGCACAGTGATTGGTCCGTCTTGTCCAAACTGCTCTTTAGTTTTATGAACTTGGCCGATGAAGTCGATGAATCCCTCCCCGGTTTTTGGCACTCCTTGTTCGGGCCAGTCGGTGAACTGAAACTGCCTGATGGTCCTCGACTGACCATCCTGATCAACATGCAGGAAAATGGAAAAGATGCAATTAGTAACTCATGCACACAGCTATAGCCCTCTGCTGATAGATACAGAGAGCAGCTGAGAAGTGACGCATAACTATTATAGCTGTTACATTTCTGTCTCTGAGTTTCTTATGAACTCCTTTGTGTTTCTGAGGTAAAATGCCTCAGAGAAAAATAGGATTTGTCCTACTAGATCTTTTCAAATATGCTTAAAATGTTCTCAATAATTCCTTGAAATTAAAATATTAGTTTTTTGGTATTTCTTTCAGTGAGTGCTGCACTTAAAACATTCTTATATTGTTCCATCTAAATTCTCTTCAGCGAAAATCACACTGTGGACTGTGATGAGTTTTTTTACCGATCCTCAAAGCTGCTTATTCCTCAAGGTGACTTTAGAGATTGTGGAGGGAGAACAGTGGCTGATAACTCTGTGCCTTTAATTTGTTATATGAATTATATTGACTGAATGTTACAGCTACTGACTGATTAACCAAATACTGCTGAACACTTAGCAGTGTTCCTATCCAATATGGTGGACCACTGTGGACCCCACAGGTGGAGTGAAACCGAACCAAACCTGCCAACATGTAGTTTTCCACCCCTATGAAACACAGAAAGATAACAGTGACTGAACAACATGTAATAAAGCATTCACTTAGATCATGAAGGGGCTGTCATCATCATCATCACTGTAGAGCTGACACATGGTCTGCGATTTATATGAATAGGCAGATAGTTGTGGAAAGTAAAAAGTACATTTTGCATTACGCAAGTACTACTTTTGGGGTGCTTGTACTTCAGTATTACTATTTTCTGCTACGTCCTACTTCTACTCCACCACGATTTCGAAGCAAATACTGTACTTTTTATTCAACATTTACATGTAACTGTATTTGCTGCAAGGTGAAGCAGTGGTTAGCACTGTTGCCTCGCAGCAAGAAGGT